AGAGGCCTATGGAAGTTAAGGTTAGAAACAAATCTAGTGTAATGGCTATGGAAGTCAGAAGCCAGAGGTAGAGTTCCAGAAAAAATTGCTGGGATGCCTGTTGGATTGTTTATAATTTTATGTGCAAAGGGTGCTACTTTTAGTTTGAAAATATTATCAATTGTTAGGATATCCAATAAATGATAATAAGGCGTGGCATTCTCTCTATTGTGTGCAGAAAAAATTGAACGAATGCATTTATTTTGCTTAGTTCTGATTTTATTTAGACTAGTTTTGCAAGCACTTCCCCAACTAGTGATAGCATAGGTCAGATAGGGAGAGATGAAAGAGCAATACAATTGTATCAGAGTATGCAGATTTATATAGTATCTCAATTTAGTAATAATTCCGATATTTTTTGCTAATTTATTGTTAATATGTTTAATCTGAGGTCCCCAGTGTAAGTGTTGATCAACATAGACACCCAAGTATTTTATTTGGCTTTGGATCTTAATGTTATTTACATTTATACTTCCACTTAATCTTGAGGATGAGACTAGGATGTAATTTGTCTTTGAAAAGTTTATAGATAATTTGTTTGTAGCACAGTACTTAGCTACTAACTTAAATTCTTCGTTCATGACAGACTCTAGGCTACGCAGATTATTACTTGTATAGAACATATTAGTGTCATCAGCAAAGATTCGGAAGGATAGTTTGCTTGAACAGTTTGGTAAGTCATTAATATAGAGCAAAAATAACAATGGTCCCGAAGTTGACCCTTGAGGTATACAACAAATAATGGTCTGACTACTAGATATAGTATCCCCAATTTTGACAACCTGATTTCGATTGTACAAGTAACTTTCAAACCATCTGAGAGGATCACCACTTATAACAGACAATGGTGACAGAAGGAAATTAACCGTTAGCCGTAAATGGCCAAAATTTTAACTACCTGTCGTAAATGCCACTTAAGTAAGATCCTCGCTAAAACAGTTCATGTTGATACTGAAATTCACATCAGTCAACATCAAGACCTAAATCCCCGCGCTCTCTCAGCTGTGGTCTCAACATCGCCGGTGTTTATCACTCCAGACATGAGCTGTCACCCTCGCTATCAGGTTGATATTCACTACTTGAACATAATTCGCTACTACACGGTTCCTTTTTTTCTTGCCTTTGCAAATCATACAAGCGGCTAAGGCGCTTCTCAGCAGAATCACGTTCCAGCTCAAACCCATGTCTGTCGATGAGCCCTATCGCTTCTTTAGCCTTTTCAATAGCCATAGCAATGTTTTGTTCAAAGCAGTACTGATCAGAACGCAAAAGAAGATGCTTTATTTTTGTCCCTAACGGCATGGTACCATCACAAAATTCAGCTAAATCAAGGAGCCTTTTTGCTTACCTAACTTCCTCCCTGCAGATGTGGGTGTTGTTGTTCGCTGCCTGAGAGCAGGACTCTAAGAACAGAGCTGCCATTTTGACGGTAATGTATTCTCTTTCTCGATTATCTAAATAGTACCTACAAGCCAGTTCATAAGATTGATACACTTCAGCTTTTCGGGTTTCCCGAGTTATATTCGATGTAGGTAAAGAGTTTAGCAGTGCACCATAACTCTGGTACAGTTCTGCTTTATCTTCGTGAGAATCCTGAAGTTCAAGAACTTTTTGTGCTTTTTCCTTGCATCTCATAGCTATTCCAAATTTGCCCTGGTCCCTGTACACCGGTGTCAAAAGATTTAAGGCTCGTCCAATAAGAATCCCCGGGTTTTTCAACTGCGGCTCCAGTTTAAGTACATGTTTTAGTATTCTTTTGGCACCTGTTACATTGTTTTGGAAAAAGAAGGCCATTGCGCGACTAATCTGTAAACTTGCTTCCATGTCAACATCTACGGGTTCTTCGGGCGACTTTCTTGCCAAATTTTCTCTAATCTTTTGCTCATGTACCACAAAGTTCCCTTCTCTTCGTAGATTGAGTAGTTCTGTCATAAGTTCAATATAAACGGAAGTGTTCATACATCCGCGCTTTGGAATGACTGGCATTGGCGAAAGGACAAAGCTAAGCTTGCCTAATATTGGGGTCGTCCGACTGTCTTCTATCTCCTGAATTTTTGTGACTGGGTCATTTTCTTCATCAGAGGAAGTGGGACAAGTCTTGCTACAACATTTACAAGTCGGTACTTGACACAGTGTGCTGTTAGAACCAATCTGGAGTATGGGAAAACCTGAAACCTTTATACTCATCTCTTTATCTTGATCTGTTGCTTTTTCTGTAGTATTCCTGTGATGGGATTCATAATTTCCGTAGATGATTTCTCCTTCTAAGTGGAGGTTCATGTTTTCGTCGCTAGAAAGAGTACAAACTGGCTCTCGAGTAAGCTCTCCAACTATTAAATTCTCAGAAAAATCCTCCTTTAATTCTCTGGGAAAAACTTCGCAAAAAAGACTTTCCTGGGTAGCCATTGATTAGGCAATTGAAAGAAAGGTTATGGCGCCACGTTTCTCAATAATGTGAGCTCTACTTTCCGATAATCGTGAGCCAAAATACAGGAATTTTTGAAGACAATTTGCATTCACCTGAAAATGAAATAAAAAGACAAAAACTGGTTTTAAACAATGTGCTCTGGTAATCAGAAAACCCTCTTGGCAAAGTGATCTCAGTCGCACCTAACAGGACAAGCAAAACTGAGCATTATAGTTCGATCGAGGTTCCATGTTATATCAAAGTCAAGAAATCATAACAACCACCACACTGAGGAAAGGAAAAATATCTCAACTAGAATCTATAGGCGTACTTAGGCACCCTGACTACCCAGAAACGCGTTCGATTAGACGAAAGTAGCGCGTGTTTTCTAATCCAATCACAGAGCGAAGTAGAGCAAAACGGTCCAATCCAAATCACTTTCGACTCTAAAATTTCAGACAGATATAAGGTTCGAAGCAACTGCGTTTCTGACTATTTTTTATCATGATCCCTAACGAGAAAGGGGAAAGATTAAACCTTTGGAACTTGGTTGGATGTAGGACTTTCTCCAAGGATTTTAGATGGATGAACATTGTACTAAAAAGTCAAAGTGCCCGGAAATAGAAAACTAGATCTTATTTATCTCACATATAACAATAGTCAAAGCTCTTTGTAAGACAAACTGAAAGCTAAAGAAAGTGTAGCGTTCCGGGAAAGTTTCAAAATTAGTGGGCTAAAAAGTTTTGAAAGTTAAGTTGGATCCTTCCATTCCGTGTTTTTTAATTTGTTATGGACCGAGAAAAAAAGTTTTAGAACAGGATGCATATTTCTAAAACCTGATTAAAAAATGGACCTAAATTGACTAAAACCTTCTGTGACCGGATCGAAGGTCACGAGTGACTCAGCCATGGAAGGAANAAAAACTGGTTTTAAACAATGTGCTCTGGTAATCAGAAAACCCTCTTGGCAAAGTGATCTCAGTCGCACCTAACAGGACAAGGAAAACTGAGCATTATAGTTCGATCGAGGTTCCATGTTATATCAAAGTCAAGAAATCATAACAACCACCACACTGAGGAAAGGAAAAATATCTCAACTAGAATCTATAGGCGTACTTAGGCACCCTGACTACCCAGAAACGCGTTCGATTAGACGAAAGTAGCGCGTGTTTTCTAATCCAATCACAGAGCGAAGTAGAGCAAAACGGTCCAATCCAAATCACTTTCGACTCTAAAATTTCAGACAGATATAAGGTTCGAAGCAACTGCGTTTCTGACTATTTTTTATCATGATCCCTAACGAGAAAGGGGAAAGATTAAACCTTTGGAACTTGGTTGGATGTAGGACTTTCTCCAAGGATTTTAGATGGATGAACATTGTACTAAAAAGTCAAAGTGCCCGGAAATAGAAAACTAGATCTTATTTATCTCACATATAACAATAGTCAAAGCTCTTTGTAAGACAAACTGAAAGCTAAAGAAAGTGTAGCGTTCCGGGAAAGTTTCAAAATTAGTGGGCTAAAAAGTTTTGAAAGTTAAGTTGGATCCTTCCATTCCGTGTTTTTTAATTTGTTATGGACCGAGAAAAAAAGTTTTAGAACAGGATGCATATTTCTAAAACCTGATTAAAAAATGGACCTAAATTGACTAAAACCTTCTGTGACCGGATCGAAGGTCACGAGTGACTCAGCCATGGAAGGAAAAAGTGTTTCTTTGTTAACATGTCAAAATCATTGGATCATGATAAAATGCGCTACACTTTCTGCGTATTCCATCAGTTCTGACAAATTTTTCATCGTTATCGCGTCTCTGTTGTAACGATTCTAACGCTAAAGACCGTCCGTTACAAATCTCCTTATTACTTCATTCAGTTTGTAAATTATTCATCTTTATCGCGTCTGTTTTGTAAGGATTCGAGCGCTAAAGACTTGGTTACGAATCTCCTAATTAATTCATCTCTAAATTTTTAATCGTTATCGCGTCTGTGTTGCAAGGATTCGAGCGCTAAAGAAAGTTGGTTACAAATCTCCTTATTACTTCATGTGTAAATTTTTCATCGTTATCGCGTCTGTGTTGCAAGGATTCGAGCGCTAAAGACTTGGTTACAAATCTCCTTCTTACTTCATTTGTAAATTTTTCATCATTATCGCGTCTGTGTTGCAAGGATTCGAGCGTTAAAGACTTGGTTACGAATATCCTTATTACTTCATCTGTAAATTTTTCATCATTATCGCGTCTGTGTTGCAAGGATTCGAGCGCTAAAGACTTGGTTACAAATCTCCTAATTAATTTATCTCTCAATCGAGACATGAAATGAAGCCTTCTAGATTGTGGCGCTCGATCTTACCTTATTGATGTTACAGTTATGAGTCAGAAAAACAAGAGAAACAAAAAGATTCCTTTGGGTCTTAATCTGAAGTCTTAGAAGTATACAAAATCATGTTCCTCTCGATTTTGATTGCGAACTAAAGCATCGGTTTTAATACCTTTGAACATAATCACTGCGGCTACATGATCTTAAGTTGAAGATGACAGTTTTGTTTTCATGTAATTTTGTTTAGGAAGAGATCCTTCGCACATATTGGAGCTAGCACAACGCTTTCTACCGAGTATGTGTATGAAAGCTGTCAACTGGAACTATAAACTTCAACACTACTCCTGTACCTAAGAAGTATGACCTAATGAAGACGACAATCATAACCTACCCAACTTTGACAAGTACTATCCGTTCAAATGGGGCACGAAATGTGAAACATCTCCCGTGTAAAACACTCACAGACCTATCCCTTCGGCGATACAAAACCTACTTACTTTCTCGTTCCCAGGAAACTTCTCATTTAGCAAGATAGAGGACCCTGGTAAAGAGTTTTAACTTCCGCTTTGCAGACTAGCCGTGACTGAGACGGCAAAGCAAGACCACAATGCATACAGATGTTTTCGTTTATGTGTTGCTCATCAGTCAGCCGACCATTGAAAAGGTATATACTGATAGAGGAATCGCCTTGTCCATATTTACAATTTCCGCTATCCAAGGGAAAGAAACAGAGAGGGAAAGTAATGCCGTGAAGATCTCAGTGTATGCTGAGATGGGAGCTATTCAGTATAAATCACAAACAAATAGTCTGTAATTAAACGATGCCATGCAGTATCATCAAATCCTTCTTAGGAACGAACGAAAACGAGTCAACCCCCGAGCAGCCGGAACTAAGAAGGAGAAGAAGAAATGTAAGATAAAACTCAACTCTTTATTCCAAGATTCAAACTGTTATATTTACACAGTCAGTCGTGTCCATGGTTTAAGATGTATGATTTTTGCTGATGATAAACAGCTGAACGTTTTTTATTTACCCTTAAGAATGATCGTTCTGTACTGATCTGTCAAACTTCGGCGTGCACCATAGACATCCTCATCTGGTGTACGAACTAGACTTGCTTGCAACTCGCACAAACCAAAAGTTCAAAGATTCAAAGAATCACCAGCAAATTCTTGGACTTAATTTTAACAATGAGAAATACTGCACCTTCACAAGCTGTTGGTGATCTGGGAGTCATTGCGAATTTGGTTATTTTGGTTTGAAGAACAATGATTGGTAAGATCAGAAACTACATCAGTCAAACTGATTATCATCTAACCCTGTCAAGTAGGACTCAATGGGGTTAACCGGTTAGCGCCGTAAAACGGCGAAAACGTTTAGCCGTCAAGCGTAAAACATAAATGACGCATTTTAAACGTTACTATCTTTAGAAATCAGTTAACTAAGTTAAATTTGGATACCGATGTTAATTGCAAATGCACCTTCTGCGCTTGATTCACGGCTTCTGCGTTATTTCAATAATAGATATTATTAGCCCTTAATCTGCAATATTTTTAGCTTGTATATTTCGGGCATATAGCATGTATTTTTATAATATTTTTTGATGGATATTTATTCATCTATCATATTATAGTTTCTAGTTATATTAGTTAGTATACACGTACATTTTTGTAACGAGCATCTTTTTGCTCATCAATGTTTCGTGTTTAAATAAAGTTATACTTACTTACTTAGTCTTAAATAAAAAAGTGAACGGTGAAACCTTTTCTTATATACGATGTGTGATTTTAAAAGTATCAGATTCTTAGACTGTTATGTGGTCTTGGCTTGTGAATTTTGGCTAATGTAGGAAAAAAGAAAATTACTCTTCTGATATTAACCCAACAACAGCTCGATCTGGAATAACCCTTGTTACTTGACTCTACCGCATGGTAAAAGCGAGCTAAAAAATGCATTTTAAAACGATGAAAATTAATCATTAACAGACAATGGTGACAGATTCTGAAGGAAGTTATCCGTTAGCTGTAAAATGGCCAAAATTTTAACTATCTGTCGTAAATGCCACCACTTAAGCAAGATCCTCTCTAAAACAGTTCATGTGAATACTGAAATTCACATGAGTCAACATCAAGACCTAAATCACCACACTCTCTCAGCTGTGGTCTCGACATTGCTGGTGTTTATTACTCCAGACATGAGCTGTCACCCTCGCTATCAGGTTGATATTCACTACTTGAACATAATTCGCTACTAAACAGTTCCTTTTTTTCTTGCCTTTGCAAATCTTACAAGCGGCTAAGGCGCTTCTTAGCAGAATCACGTTCCAGCTCAAACCCATGTCTCTTGATGAGCTCCATCGCTTCTTCAGCCTTCTCAATAGCCATAGCAATGTTTTGATCAAAGCAGTACTGATCAGAACGCAAAAGAAGATGCTTTATTTTTGTCCCTAACGGCATGGTACCATCACAAAATTCAGCTAAATCAAGGAGCCTTTTTGCTTCCCTAACTTCCTCCCTGCAGATGTGGGTGTTGTTGTTCGCTGCCTGAGAGCAGGACTCTAGGAACAGAGCTGCCATTTTGACGCTTATGTATTCTCTTCCGCGGTTACTAAAAGAGTACCTACAAGCCAGTTCATAAGATTGGTATGCTTCAGCTTTTCGGGTTTTCCGAGTTATAATCGATGGAGGTAAAGAGTTTAGCAGCGCACCATAACTCTGGTACAGTTCTGCTTTATCTTCTTGAGAATCCTGAAGTTCAAGAACTTTTTGTGCTTTTTCCTTGCATCTCATAGCTTTTCCAAATTTGCCCTGGTCCCTGTATACCGGTGTCAAAAGAGTTAAGGCTCGTCCAATAAGAATCCCCGGGTTTTTCAACTGCAGCTCCAGTTTAAGTACACGTTTTAGTATTCTTTTGGCACCTGACACATCGTTCTGGTAATAAAAAGCCTTTGCGCGCGCATTCTCTAAACTTGCTTCCATGTCAACGTCGACGGGTTCTTCGGGCCATTTTTTTGCCAATTTTTCTCGTATTATTTGCTCATGTACCACAAAGTTCCCTTCTCTTCGTAGATCGAGTAGTTTTGTCATAAGTTTGATATAACCGGAAGTGTTCATACATCCGCGCTTTGGAATGACTGGCATTGGCGAAAGGACAAAGCTGAGTTTGCCTAATATTGGGGTGCCTTGACTGTCTTCTTCTATCTCCTGAGTTTTTGTGACTGAGCCGTTTTCTTCATCAGAGGAAGTGGGACAATTCTTGCTACAACATTTACAAGTCGGTACTTGACACAGTGTGCTGTTAGAATCAGTCTGGACTATGGGAAAACCTGAAACCTTGATACACAGAACTTTCTGGGATTGCCTCATCTCTTCATCCCGATCTGTTGCTATTGTTGCATCTTTCCTCTGATAGGATTCACAATTTCCGTGGACAATCCCTCCCTCTAAGTGAGGGTGGATTTTCTTGTCATTAGAAAGAGCAGAAACTGGCTCTGTCATTGCTCAGGCAATTGAAAGGAAGTGATCCAGTAATTAAAACGTTACTAATGTGTGTACGACTTGATGATAACCGTGAATCAAAATAAGGGAACGTTTGAAGACAATTTACGTTCACCTGAAAATAAAATAAAAAGAAAAAAACAGATTATAAACAATGGGCGGATATACAATAATTAAAAAAAAAAGAAACCAAAAGAAAACATTAACTGGTTAATCAGAAAATTCGCTTGGCAAACTTTAGTTGCACCTAGCAGGACAAACTAAACTGATAGCATGATAAAACGCGTTCAAATTTCGATCGAGCGTCCGTGTTGTACCAAAGTCAAGTAACTACAACAACCACCACACTGAGGAAAGGAAAATATCTCAATTACAATCTATAAGTGAACTAAGGCACCATGACTACCCAGAAACGCGTGTGATTTGGCCGTCAAACAGCGAATTTCATTCACACTCCCTCTACCGGATAACTGTGTAAAACTCGGTTATTATTGTCGCGACCAACTCATGAGGTTCAGACCAAGCTACTTTTCTGCCAAGCGCTTAAATCCTCAGCTCGTCCGTCAACTGAAAGATTTAAATATCTTAAAGTACTGGGGGAAGTCTGGCGGTACGAGAGTAAACAAGGAAGCGACCCAAAAACCAATTATTAATAAGGAAAGATTTATCGCACAACATAACCTTAACCGAAGAGCGAATTTGCGTAATCTACAATTACTGAACCGTCCAAAGTCAACATTTGCGGTCGTCAACTCGTCCGTCAGCTCGTCCGTCAACTGAAAGATTTAAATATCTTAAAGTACAGGGGGAAGTCTGGCGGTACGAGAGTAAACAAGGAAGCGACCAAAATACCAGTTATTAATAAGGAAAGATTTATCGCACAAAATAACCTTAACCGAAGAGCGAATTTGCGTAATCTACAATCACTGAACCGTTCAAATGTCAACATTTGCGATGACAGCGAACGTTCTTTTATTCCGGTCTCAGAGAGGCCACGATCCGGCCTCAAAATCCTTCACTTAAACATCCGTTCCCTCCGAAATATTTCCCATCGATCTCAGCTTAAAGAACTAGATAATCGTGAACAGTTTGATATCATAAAAATCTCTGAATCTTGGCTTAACACCACCATAACATCCACTGAGATCCAACTTGATGGCTACAAACTATTTCGCTTGGATCGTCTGCATAAAAGAGGAGGTGGAGTATGTGCTTATGTACGTTGTGAGCTTAAGTCTAAGGTAATTAAAGCCTTTTCAAGTATTTCAGATCGCAATTTCCATCAACTATGGCTTAGTGTTCAGGTTAAAAAATCCAAGTCGATCGTGCTCTGTGTAGCATACCGCCCGGATGATACGCCTCTAAGCTTCTTTGAAGATACATTGAAACCGATCTACACTCAAGCCTTGTTGTTGAACAAGCCAATAATCATCTTTGGGGACTTAAATTGCGACGGGCTTGACAGCTCTTGTCACGAGTATGCAACTATCAATAGTTTCACACGTGAAATGAACCTACAGCAGTTAATCAAGGAACCGACCAGGATTACGACCACCACCGAGTCACTATTAGATGTCATCTTAATCTCAGAACCTTCTTATGTTCGTAAGAGTGGTGTCATTAATTTTCCAATTAGTGACCACCTTCCAGTTTACGTTGTGTTGAAACTGAAATCTCCCAAGATCTTTCCTCATTATATAACAGTGCGCAGCTATAAGAACTATGATCCCGAAAATTTCACCTTCGACTTGGCGTCTCATTCTGACTCCTTACTTTCAGTGTTTGCTGCACCTGATGTAAACAGCAAGTTAGACATTTTTAATAACGCTTTTCGCCAAGTACTTGATGCACACGCTCCGGTAAAGACAGTCAACTAA